CATTCCTGCCCAAGAATTCATGGGGCCTTTCATCCCAGTGCTTTGAGGAAGTCTCTGTTGGGGAATGGGCATGGCACAAACCTGGAAATGAAAGGGCAGCAGTGCAGGAAATAAAACCACAGACCATATCATCAGTTGTGATGGTTTGCATTCATGACAAACTTGTCAGAAAATTGTTGCCTCTGCCAAGGGTGCCTCAGGTCCCGCGGCAATGAGGGGCAGGTATAAAAAGCAGCTCAACTCTCTACTTCCTCATCCACTTCTCCTGTCTCCTCCTCGGAACCAGGTGAGTCTGAAAACCCTTCTCTTCCTCTTCCAAAGGGAAATCTACACTCAATGGATGTCTCAGCTGATGTTGACTTTGTCATACGTTGGGGCTTGAGGTGGCTTGTCCTGACACAGGGAAGCAAGGGGAAGGTCTGCCTAGAGAGATGCTGGCATGTGACTGAAGAAGCTTGTGGTTTGTGCACTAGGATAGAGCTTTGTTTCATCTGCCTGCTGTTCGTAGTGTCTTGGCTGAATGAGCCATAGAAGACAGTGAGGCTTCTGGCACAGACTCCATCTTTCCTCTCATTTAAAGCTTTGGCTCCTTTGTGACAGCATAATCAAGCTCCTTCTCACCAACTACTGTATTGAAGAGAGTGAGGCTCCTGGTACAGACTCCATCTTTCCACTCATTTAAAGTCTTGGTTCCTTTGTGACAGCATAATCAAGCTCCTTCTCATCAATTACTGTCTCCTCCTTCCTCTCTGTCCTCTCTCTCAGGTGCACCTCCAGACCAAAGACATGTCCTGCTGCACCCCGTGCGTACCCTGCTGCCAGCCCTGTGGCCCAACCCCACTGGCCAACAGCTGCAATGAGCCCTGTGTGCGGCAGTGCCAGAGCTCCACCGTTGCCATCCAGCCCTCCCCTGTGGTGGTGACCCTGCCCGGACCCATCCTCAGCTCCTTCCCACAGAACACCGTTGTGGGCTCCTCCACCTCCGCTGCTGTTGGCAGCATCCTCAGCTGTGAGGGCGTGCCCATCAACTCTGGGGGCTTTGACCTCTCCTGCATCATCACCAACCGCTACTGTGGCAGGCGCTGCTTCCCCTGCTAATACCACTGGTGAAAACCCTGACAAGGAGCCCCAGGAATCCTGACCTAGATTCTTCACTGAGGGCAGAGTTTCTGGCAATTCATTTCAGAGAGACTGAGCATCCAGAGCTGCTCTTCCAAGGGAGGGCAGCTGGGAATCTCTGAAAACATAATCAAAGTTGATCTTCCCTGCCTTCTACTCTCTTCCTTCTCTTTCTTGTCTTCTGCTTTCCTGGGCGAACTTGGGGCATCTGCTGGCCCCTCTCTGCCTCTGAGGGGCAGTCGATGAACGCTCCATGAAATCTCTACTGTGGGTGATGGATCCGGATTTTCTGCATCTGGGGTTGTTCTCCCTGCTCTGGCTGCCTCCTCTACAGGGGAGGGACCTGCTGCTCTGTCTCTCTTTACTGGACAAATCAACTGGTGCCCCCTGGGATCTTCTCAATAACAAAAAGCTTCACTCCTCCTGATTCTCCTCATTACTCTCTTTGACTCATTTCCCTCCTCAGAGTCATTAAAGTTTTCTGCATCCTACCTTTTGCCTCCGCATAATCCTTTCATGTTGTTGCTGCCTCAAGTTGTCTGGAGTTGTCAGTGAAGAAGGGCATTGTCTTGAGTGGCAGGGGGTAAAGTGGAAGCTCAAGTGGATCTTTCATTATTCCAAGAGGAAGGGGAGGTTGGGACATGGGACAGTAGGTCATTTCCAGTCACTGTCTCTTTGAGCTAAGGAAGATACACTCAGTTCCTCCACAGCCCATGGTTATCAGGCCCTGAGTTTTGGCATCACACCTTTTACATGGTGCCCCAAAACATCATTTGCTCTATATTGGAGAGGAATGAATTTTATGAGTGGAGTGTTGTATGCTATCCCATTGTGAGGAGCCTGTGGTGCTGCTGAAGGATCTGAGAGGTCAGCAGCTCACAACTAAAAAGGAGTTCTTTGTGCTCTGCATAGCCTTTTGCTGGGAAGAGAAGCTCAGTCAGAAAATGACCCCAAAGGATCCAGGAGTGGGGATGGAAATACCTTTTACAACAGCCTCAGACCTTCTTCTCCTTATTCTCCCACCTGTTCCCAGAAGGACAGGGCATGGCCTGCACCCAAGGGCAATGATAGCAAAGGCAGGTCACCTATAGACCCTCCATCCTCAAACAGTTCCCTGCAGAGCCCAACAGCTACACAGATGTGCAGGGCTGAAGTGACTCATAGATTGATGCAGAATTCATTCTGGTCAGGCCACACACCAGGGCCCTCGTCTGGCTTGAGTACCCCCAGCTCAATGACCATAAATTTGTGTTGATTGGCAGGAGATTAAATCATAAAAAATTTCTCAAGCTGAGACTGCTTTGCCCATGGCAAGTACTTGAAAATGTTTTTCCTGCTCCTCTGGGTGGTGAGAGGATTTTCTGACAGTCTGTGAAACACTGGGCCTAGACAGATCAGATGAGAGAGGCAGGAAGAGATGGAGAATTGGAGAAAGATAGACAAGAAGAGGGATCTGAGACGACCAGGAGAGATGTTTATTCTCTGTCTTGTCTGTTCAAGTGATAATATTGTCTTGAGGACACAGGTGCAGAAAAACCCATGTTAAATGTTTCCCAACATTTGCAGTTTCTTCTAGGAACAGATGGGCTCTGTGTTTCTACTACTCCTCCACTTTCCTTCCTCTGCTGCCTAAGAACAACTCCTGTTTCCCACATACCCAGAAATAAGAGGAATGCAAGTTGTGAGACAGCCCAAAGAATCTGACTGTGTCCTCTGTTCTGCTAGGATAACCTGCAACCCCAGAGAGCAACTAGGTTCCCACAATTACTTTAGAGTCTAAAAGACCCTTCACTAAATCTCTGCAGCAATAATCATCATCTTCATCGCCAGCATCAGTATCTGCATTTTCCTTATTTCATAAGAAATAAGAGAACTGCACACCCTCAGGGAGAAAAGGGGATCCTAGGGGATATGGACAGTTCCAAGATGCACTCAATCTCACCCAGACAAGGCAGTTCTTTCTTGGGAGTTTTTGAAGAGTCCATCACTAGAGACCTGGCTGCAGCTTGTCCGTCTGTCCAACCAAGATGAACAGCATAACCCTCTCACTTCCTAGGCTACACAGCAGAGGAAAAACAAATGCAGAAAAGTTAAGACTTCTGCCTTTCCAAAGTGAGAGATAAAAGAGGAATAGACCAGTCTCTCTGACGTATCCTCCTTTGTGACATCTTGGGACTCTCTCCATCCTTAATGTTTGTGCTTCCTGTCCCACCAATCTCAAGCCCTTGTTGGGGGCTCTGGCATACTGTCTAACCTGAAGCCTCTGTCAGCACACCCCAAGTCTGCAGCTCTCACAAGAACAATGGTCACCACCACCAAACACTATGGACACCAGCTGCCCCATTCACCCCCTCAGACACTGTGGATTTTCTCCTTCTGTCCAAAAGGAGGTACCTCTGGAATCAATAAATGAAGTTTCCTGCCACACTGTCGCATTCCATCTCAAAAATCAGTTTCTTAAAAGCTCATTGGAAAAGAAATAATCATTTAAAAAAAACCAATTCTAGTCTTTTGACAAGTTTTCTTCAAAACTAACTTCATTTGTGTTTATACTCTCATTTTTAGCCTTTAAGAAACAAATCAACCAAATTCTTTTTACTTTTTCCATAGAGTCATAGAATAATTTAGGTTGGACAGGACCTCTGCAGATCACCCATTTCAAGGTCCTGCTCAGAACAGGTCTCATCAGATTAGGCTGGTCTAGGCCATGCCCAAGCCCCAAAAATTTCCAAGGCCAGAGCCTGCACAGTATCCCTAGAAAATCTATTCTAGTACTTGAAAATTTTCAGTGTAAAAAAAAAAAAAAAGTTACTGATAACTAAACATGTAATAATCCCCTTGCCTGACCAGGTGCTGTGTTTGATGCACTCCAGGATGGGGTTACCCTCTTGGTGCCAGGGCATATGGCTGACTCCTATTTGAACATGCTGTTGACCAGCACCCCAAGATTTCTTTCTGTGGGGCTGCTCTCCAGCCACTCCTTTCTCAATTTATACTCGTATCTGGTGTTACTCCATCCAAGGTACAGAATATGGCACTAAATCTTGTTAAATTTTATGCTGTTAATGATTGCTCAATGATTCAGTGTTATCTTGGAGCATGGCATCCTGTACACAGAGAAGCATCAAGGAGTACTCTGCAGACAGTGCGGAGAAGAACATCCCTGAAGCCACCCAAAGTCTGGAGTTATCCACCAACAGCAGCATCATAAGGGATCGAGTAGCTGGGGAATTTATAGCATATCAGAAGATGTAGGGATAAGAAGAGTTGGTGGAGAAATTTCATTGCAGCATTATGCTGTGTCCCATCTGGATGAGTGTTTCTGGTGGGAACTGCAACACAGACACATTCTGTGCATGACCTGTGAAGCCAGGTAACCATTTTTACACTGTTAGACTGTGTATCCCGCTATGCACCACTTTATCAGCTCACTCATTCTGCTTATTGTCCATCTCACTTTCTATAATACAGAAAATGTTGATCCATGTTTCTGTACAATCCTATATCTAAGGTTCATGTCAATCATAATACTCGACTCTGGCAGCTCATACTGCTTTCAACAGTATCTCACAAGGGTTTGAGTTAATCAATTTTTCCTGTATCACCTAATGATCTTTAGTAACAATCAGTTTCTCGGTTAGAACCTTCTTGCTTCTCATTTTGCTTGTGCTTCTTACCAAGTATTATCTGCATAATTCGCATTGCGGTATATGCCCATGCCTGCTACTGCAGCATTTCCTCTCTTCTAGCATTGAACTATCTCTCCGCCTTTACTCTGCTCTTGTGAGACCCCACCTCGAATACTGCATCCTGTTCTGGTGTCCCCACCAGAGGGACATAGATCTGTTAGAACAAGTACAGAGGCCACAAAGATGATCCAGGGGCTGGAGCAGCTCTGCTATGAGGATAGAATGAGGAAGATGGGACTGTTCAGTCTTGAAAAGAGAAGACTCTGGGGGGACCTTATAACTGCCTTCCAACACCTGAAGGGAACCTGCAGGAAGGCTGAGGAGGGACTTTTTACAAGAATTTCTGCCAATAGTACAAGAGGAAATGGATTTAAATTAAAGGGGAATAGGTTTAGATTGGATCTTAGGAAGAAAATTCTTCAGTACAAGGGTGGCAAGACTCTGAAATAAATTGTCCAGAGAAGTTGTGGATGCCCCCTCCCTGGAGGTGTTCAAGGCCAGGTTGGATGAGGCCTTGAGTAGCCCTATCTAGTTGAGAGGCGTCCTTGCCCATGACAGGGAGGTTGAATTAGATGATCTCTAAGGTCCCTTCCAACTTAGGCCATTCTATGATTCTATGATTCTATGAGTCTATGATTCTATGATTCTATGATTCTATGAGTCTATGATTCTATGATTCTATGATTCTATGAGTCTATGATTCTATGATTCTATGATTCTATGAGTCTATGATTCTATGATTCTATGATTCTATGAGTCTATGATTCTATGATTCTATGATTCTATGAACTAGATTTTTTTCTGTGGCTTCAAGGACTTTGTCTGTTCCTACATATGCAGACCTCATCTTCATAGAATGATAGACTCATAGAAAGCTTTGGGTTGGAAGGAACTTATAAAAATCACCTTCTCCAAACCTTCTGCCATGGGCTGGGAATTATTTCAGTAGATTACTTGCTCAAAGCCTCATTCAATCTGAATTTGTTTTATAAAAGAGAAGGTTTATATGGTCTCTTTTTCTTTCTTCCTCTAAACATCCATATAAGAACAATACATCAAAAGGAATTTGCAAGCATTTAAAAGGCTTGGACTCCTAGTGCCCATTTAATTCCCATTGGTTTTGACATATAAACAAAGTAAGATCTCAGCAGACCAACTAAGTCTGCAGGACTAGGAGCAGCTGGACGCCTTTCTGTAAGTGGAATCATAAAAAAACCCCCACATCAGAGTGTCCTGGGCTGACATCAGTTACATCCATTGGACCCCTCTAGCACTTGGTCTGTGTCTTCC